GCTGTTCCTAGTTTTTTGCGTAGTTCCAAGGTGGGAAGGAATTTTCTCCCCCTCCTCCAAGGAGAAATTTCTGTGTCGAAGCCCGCTGTACTGGTCAAAATTTGTTCATGCTTATTGCTTATTTGGGTGATGCTAGCAATATCTTGCTATTTTAGGAAATGAATATGACGCTGTTCCACAAAGAGTCGAAACAGATTAACAATGATGAGATAGTGGCAGGCTCGAAGTTTTCGCAGCAAATCCTTGGCTTAAAACCAGGACAGTTGGCATTTGTTGTTAATGGTCTGCTTATTGGGCCACTTCAGGAGGGACAAGTCTTTGATGTTGCCGATGTGGAACTTATCGACAAATTAGTTCTCTTGTATGGGGGAAAGGTCTGTTTTATGTTTCATTTTTTTTATTTTGCCGAAACTTTGTGCATTTGTGGGCAGAAATTAATATTGCCTGAACGAGTAGTCGCTGTTCTGAGATCTGAACAGACAGAATCTCCACGATGTTTTTTGTTTCTTTTTGATGTAGATTGTTATTAAAATTTCTTGATTTCTGCTTGGTTAAGTGGTATTTAGTGAAGCTTTTATCTTATCATCCTGGATATCCCTCGACAGCTATGATCCTTTCGATGTGCTGCTTGTCATCGGATCATAAACTGTCTGAGCGTCTTCTTTTCCGCTTGTTTTTCTTGCATTATGCCGAAATTAAAACGTTTCGGTCCGTTAAGCTTTGTGCTTCGCAGCTAAGCGTAAAAATCTAAGAAGGCTTTGAAAATTACGGCACGGTGCGAAACTGATTAAGCCTTTTGATGCGTATATGTGTAATGATTGTAACGTGTGAGAAGAAAGAACCGAAAATCCAGCAATATATCAGTAGTGTTTATTACTGGTATTAACTGGAAATGAATTTTCGGGAATAATTCTCTCAGAACTCGAAAATTTTAGATTATTGGTGACTATGTGGAAAAATGGAAGATTCAAACAAGACACGGCAAATCATCAGATATGGTTGCACGTACCATGGCTTTACTAGGAAGTATTGGCGCAGCGAAAAAACGACGATCCATTGCGATTACCGGTGAAAAAGAAAGGTACTTATTGTGTTCAACTCCTTTTTTTGTTCTTGCCAAATTTCATATCAATAGCCTTCTTCCCATTACCTTTCTTCATTTACACTCTTCCTGCTTCCCTTTTTTGCAGTGTAATTATCGGTAGACGTTCTGTAGCTTTAAAATTTGGCAGGGTCATGTCTGTCGCAGAAAACCCGTGAAAAGCTAGTCAAGAAGCCGACGCAAAGAAAAACAGGAAAAGGAAGATGTCTGTCACCTTGAAAGGCAGATACACAGTAGGTGTGCTGGCAGGCTGAGCTTGGAGCAGCAAGGACCGATAATGTAGTGGTAACACGTTGCATTCGGATGTGAAGGGGAATGGTTCGATTCCCTCCCGGTACAGGACGGTCTTCGAGAAAGAGCTCCGTTCACGACAATATCATCCCATGTTCTTGTGTATAGCAGTAAATTCTAGCTTGATTGTTTTTATAGAAGCCCAGTAATAACAGTGGTGCCTGTCTGCCTACACTCAAACTGATTTTAGCTTACTGAGGCAATCCTCAGATAAGGGACTTTACTGGGCGATTGTTGTTTTTAAAAAACTGTAATTCCGAAGGCGCTGAAAATTTGGTGCCCTATGTATGGAAACATAAAGATCAATAACTGTTGGAACAGCATTTCCATCTTTGGGCATAGGCCTGGCTGAAGCTTCCGCTGGTGCAGATCTTGATAGTAG